TATGGGGTTTACGATAGTCCATGACGAAAAGGAATTTGCGCAGATCATTTAGATCACGTCTGAATAAAGTTATTTGTTTTTCGGTTTGAGATTTCTCTATAATATCTCGAATAACTTTCGATGCTTTTCTTCGAGAACTGATAGTTTTTCTTCTACATGCATTACTTTTTCGTTATTGAGGTCTATGTACATATTGCTATACTCATAAGTGTCCTTGATTAAGGAGACACTTAGCTGATTCTCCTCTTTTTTATAAGTTTGGAGATGGAGTTGATTTTTATTATTCTTAAATGATGAGGTCTTATGTTGGTAATTTGGAGACATCACAAATTTCTTTTTATAATCATTAGTAGCAAAGTTACGTAGAATAAATTGTGGAATGTAGTGATGCTTTTGGTCTTTTAAAGGACCTTGTTTGGCTTTCTTAGTCGTCATAAAGAAGGAAAGAAATTTTGCGTTATAGTGTAACAGACTTAAAAAGTCTTTATTTAATTGTGGCATTGAGATACGCAATTACTTAATAATTTTTGAGTTACGAATGACAAGATATTGAATAAAGAAGTTCATATTAAAGTTAGTAGGGTTATAAGACATATTAAATTTCTGTTATAACAGAAAGAATCATGAAACATATCATAAAGATAGTAATTTATTAATTCACTAATATTCTAATAATTTAGCATTCGAAAGATTTCAGATTTTGGATTATCAAAACAGATTAAAGTCTATATAACTTCAACCTCAGTTGTTACAAATGTAAAAATAATATGAAATCCGACGTCTATAGCCTTTAAGCAATCCTTTGGGAAGCTTCAAGTAAAAACCACTGTTCCAAACTTGAATCAAAAATGGTCCTATATTTAACATATTTCAAGAAATAGAGAGCTTATAAAAAGGTACACTGCCTCAATAAATTAAAATTTAATTCTCAATACTTTAAAACAACTTATTACGAAGCTTGAATTGATACCATTTTGATTGTAAGTTAGCAAAAATAAATTTCCTTGAATTATCCAAGATAATATAAATGTATACTACCTTAAATATCTAAGGTGATTACTTCAGATAACTAGCTACTCCAGATACGGTATATCGTCATAAAGGTCTAAATTAGTTAATTTTTTATGAAGAAACAGTTTAATATAATCTTTTTCATTTTGAGAAAAAAAAGTGGAGATCCTGCATTTTAAAAGTGGACTGCATTTAAATTATTGTTATGATTGGCTATCCAAAATACGATTTACGAAATTTCATCAGTCAAAAATAACCATTCAAGGAAAATGCCCTTTCCAAAAATTTTTATCCATCATCGTCATGTAGTAATTTCTTTTCATTGTTCACAAGTTTCAAACTTTACATGTCAGATTATTAAAAAAACAAAGTCCCGTTATCCAAATTCATTTCTACTAATTTCTAGATCTTTTTACAGTACTAATAATCTAAATTCGAATATCTCAGAATTTAATTCAGGGGTAAATTCAAATTCAAATTCTATAGCTGAGAAAAAAATCCCAAAATATATAAACAATAAACCGAACCTACGAAATGCACGACCTCCAAAATTTAAAAAACCAGAATTTATGAGAAATCCGCCTCCATCAAGGTCGTTATCAAATGAAATTACAAATATAAGTACCGAAGTAAAAAGGAATAGAAAGATACCATTTTCACAGCAGACGCCTCAAGAAAGAATTAAAAGATCTAGACGGTATGAAAGGAATAAAATTATTTATAAGGATTATAGGACTGTCAATTTTGAATTGCTAGAAGGTATCATCTTTTTTTTGTGCCAAATAGGTATTCTAAATTATAGTTCGCTAAACTATTTTTTTCATCGTTTCTCGCTTGTACGTGAAAAAAGACTTTCCAAAATGGTTGAAAGGTTTAAAATACCAAAAATATGCACCATGTTTTGAGGGGTTGCATTGGCGAGAAATTATAGAGCTAGATGAACTTGGTTTATTATACAGAGGTGTTTATAGGTTAGTTGTTAGAAGAAATTTGTTAATGGAGTTTATGTTTATTAAACGAACTTTGGTAAGTTTTTGATTGTATCAACATACTGTTTCTGTGATAGGTGAAAAGATGATTAAGACTTTCACTTTTTTAGAGTGAGATGGACAAATAACTTTATTCAGACGTGATCTAAATGATCTGCGCAAATTCCTTTTCGTCATGGACTATCGTAAACCCCATA